TGTGTTTGATTGCAGACGTTTCATCACCCTGCTAGGTAACATTGTCAGTGCGCCTCCGGTGAAGTGTTGGTGTTCCATCCTGCTTGTTATTTATATGCCCCAGTTTGCTGGGGTGGTTCTTCAGTGGATTGTATATCGGGCCCAGTTCAATGTGTTTGTTGATGGAGTTCCAGTTGGAATGCCAGGCCTCCAGGAGGCCCCTGGCATGTCTCTGTTTGGCTTGTGCTATTGTGAATGTGTTGTCCGAATCGAATTTATGTCCTTCTTTGTCCGTGTGTATTGAGTCCAGTGAGAATTGGTCATGCCTCTTGGTGGCTCGTTGGTGTTCGTGTGTCCTTATTGTCAATTTTCTTCTAGTTTGGCCTATGTAATGTGTTCTCACAATCCTCGCATGGTATTTTGTATATTACATTAATTTTATTGGTTGTGGGTATGGGGTTCTTTACGTTTGTCAGTAGCTGTCACAGGGTGGTTGTTTGTTTGTGGGCTACCCTTATACCTAGGGGTCTGAGTAGTCTTGTGATCATCTCTGATATATCCCTGATGTATGGTACAAATCTTCTCAAAAACTTTAAATTAAGGGATTAGCAAATGTTGGTCAGTGAATGCATGGGAAAAATTTGTGAATCGGACCTGGGATGAATTAGAATACAGGCTGAAGAGATTTAGGAATAGGAATCCAACTGGACAGCATTGGAGAATCACTAGGTAAAACATCATGAATCAAGATTCCTGCAGGAGATGGGCTGAAGTAGGGCTGGAAATAGGCAATGAGAGGAGGAGAAATTAATTTTAGTGAGAGAAAGATATACAGGCATTAATCTATGTTAGCTATATATGTGATTCTTGAAGTCTTTACGTGAATTCATTCCATGTAAAACTTTTGGGGTGAATTTCCACAAACAGTGTTTACACCATTCCTTTGGAGTTTCTGCAGATTTTCCACCCTTTACAAGGGCCAATTGTGTGAACAATTGCAGAATCCACCTTTATGCCTGCATTTTCCACAGAGTAAACATTTCCAGTCAGTGATCTTTCACTTTATTTTTGTTTCCGTTTCCACTTTTATTGTGGATTTCCAGCATCTATCATTTGATCATCAGACGCCATTTCTGCCACCTCCAGCGGGATGCCACCACGAGACATATATTCCCCTCCCCTCCTTTGTCCGCCTTCTGCAGGGACCGTTCCCTCTGGGATACCCTGGTCCACACTTCCTTCAACCCCAACACCTCCCCACAGCCCTACGGCACCTTCCCCTGTAACCAGCAAAGGTGCAACACCTGCCCATTCACCTCCTCCCTCCCCAGAATCCAAGGGCCCAAACATACCTTCCAGGTGAAGCAACACTTCATCTGCACTTCCCAGAATCTAGTCTACTGCATTCGCTCCTCACAATGTGGTCTCCTCTACATTGAGGAAACGAAGCGTAGACTTGGCGACCGCTTCGCAGAACATCTACATTCTACTCGCAAAAAAGACTCTGAACTACCTGTTGCCTGCCACTTTAATGCACCACCCTGCTCCCCGGCCAACATCTCTGTCTCTGGCTTGCTGCAGTGTTCCAGTGAAGCCCAATGCAAGCTGGAGGAACAACACCTCATTTTTCGCTTGGGGACCCTAGTCCTCTGGACTCAATATCGAGTTCAATAATTTTAGGGCCTAAACTCTCCCATATCCCAGCCCCCTACCCCACACACCAGGCCTTTTTACTACATAGCCTGCCATTACACACCCCCTGTTGTTAGTCACTAATAGTCACCATTAACATCTATTCACCCTCCCAGCCTGATCGTTAGCAACTCCTTTGTCTGTCCAACTGTCTTTCTCTCTGTTTGGGCCCTATCCTATCGTTTACTCGCTACCCCACCCACCTCCCTATTTTCTGCATATAAACTGAAGTTTTCCCAGCCACCATCAGTTCTGAGGAAGGGTCACCGGACCCGAAACGTTAACTCTGCTTTTTTCCTTCACAGATGCTGCCAGACCTGCAATTTTGGTTTTGTTTCTGATTTGCAGCATCCGCAGTTCTTTTGGTTTTTATCTATCATTTGCTATTTTGTTTTCGTGTTCAAACCTTCAGGAATGGACTCCAATCAAATTTAAGATTTGTAGTTATTCTATCTGCATGTTTGAACCAAAGAAAGGAACCAATTAATAGCATATGGTCCAGGGTTGCTCTGTTAAGAGAGAGGAGTCTCCTGAGATCAGGGAGCAAGGTCTCCATGCATTTATCTAAAGGATCTGGAATAAAGCACAGTGAATTGTTAGTAACACTTGCTAGCTTTGTATCCAGCAGGAGTTTTTGGCACTAATTCGTTTGGGAAATTCAAAGATGCGGAAAGCTATATTTAAACTTTCCAAAACGATTAGGAAACATATGTGACTGGTGGGGCTCACAATTGTGAGCTTTGGCTGACTTTGTGATATACTGGAACATCAAGCCATGATGATTGTAAAATATCCAAAATGTCCGTCAGCATCACTTCAATCCCATCTGATTATCTAGGAGTATATTCCAGGCTGGATTAAACATAACTGTCCTTTGCATGAGCTTTGGCACATTGAAACTCATCACTTTCTACCTCAGAGGTGACAATGCCCTTCTAGAGATATGACAAATTAATCTCAGCAGACATTACTGTGCAGCAATGGAAAAATACACTGCTGTAGAAAGCATCAGATCTTTGAATGAGACATTAAACATCAGCCCCATCTACCTCCTCAGCTGGATGTGAAAGATCCCATCACACTATTCAAAGAAAAGATTAATTCTCCTCTGACTTTCTGATCAGTAAATATTCCTCAACCAGTGATACAAAGCAAAATTGGGCAATAAAAAAACTGCTATGCACCCTTGCTCTTTGCAAGTTACAATGTAAAAATTGCTGAATTGGCTTTTTAAGCACTTTGTGTCATTCTGAGACCTTGAAAGGTGCTAAACAAATAAAATCCTCCCTTCTTTTCTTTTGAACTGGCAGATGTTTAGAAGGTGTTGATCATTATTAACAAAGAACAACGGCAACTAGACTTTGCAAAGCCTCTTTTGGCAGAGCAAATTGTCCCAAGATGCTTCACAGAGTGCAAGAGAAAAACGAGCATTATGTCAAGCAAAAATTATTAGAGGGTTATTAGACATTATCATGGAGTTGAGTTTTGAGGAAGATCTATGAAAGAGAAAAAGGAAGAGCTTAGAGATAGAATTCCAGAGCGTGAGGCCTAGGCAGATGAAAACACAATTGTTAATAAAGTGACAAAAGGAAGTCAGAGAATTGGAGATTCTTGGACTGCTGGGTAATGGTTTTTGAGGACTGGGAGACATTACAGAGACAGAGAGTGGCATCTTATCATCCCTTGCTGATGGGTTTGAAGGTGGGGGGACACACAGAAGAGGGGATGCTGCACATAACCCACCCGTCAACTAACTGTCCACCTTGATCTGTCTCCCATTTTAATAAAGGGCCAAGAGATGTTTGGTAAAGTGCTCTCCTTTGGGTCTATTGAAACATTTAATTGATCAATTAATGGCTACCTGTGTACCTCAACCCTCCCTAACCTTGACACAGAAGAGGGGGGAGGTCTATGCCAAGTGTTTAGCCTGGGAGACTTTACCAGGAAAGATACGTCAAACAAGACACTCCCCTGAAAAGGAATCATATCCTACTTTTCACCATTCCATATTGGCATCTCTGTTCCAACATTCCCACCTCTCTAACTGTGAAAGCCTGACCCTACTGATAACCCGAATGTACTTGAAATCCAAGCTCCATCATCTCCATTCCTTCAGGGACTGACTGTAGTCCAGCATTCTGAGACTGTGGTCAAACATTTGTCACTGCTGGAACTATACAGCTGCTGGTCATCTGATTGGCTGGCAGCTCTCTAAGGTGGGACTTCCTCCCTGGAAGGGGACCTCTACCTTTTGTTCAGAAAAATAACCTGAATGTCTCACTTGGTGTTGCTGTCATTCTATGTGTATGGGTGTGACTCCCCTTGACATTAGTGGCATTACCATCACTGAATTTCCCATTACGAACATTCTGAGAGTTACATTTGAATAGAAACTGAACTGGACCAAATAATGGGGCTAAAAAAAACCAGGGAGCAGCTGAAAATTGTGCCAAACAACTCACCTCCTGAATCCCCAGAGCCTGTTAGCTGTGCACACCATCAACAGGATGTGTTGCAATACTTCCCCTTTGAGGACACCTTCCAAATCCACAACCTGCACCTCAAACGATGGGGTAACAAATGCAGAGGAAAACCATTTGCTGCAAGTTCACCTTCAAGCCACACACCATACTGACCAGCAACAATATTACCATTCCCTTACCGTCTCTAGGTCAAATTCCTGGCACCCTCTTCCGAACAGCATTGTGAATGTACCTACACCAGATGCACCTCTGTAGCTCAACGAGTTCATTCAGCATCATCTTTTCAGGGACACCTTGGAACTGGTAACAAATGTTGGCTTTGCCAGTGATGCCAATTTTCCAATCAAACACTAGTGTCACCATTAGTGCTGGTGAAATTAAGCATGTCGAATGGGAATGTTTAGCAACGCATTTTGCATACTGCATGTTCTCTCTACTTTTAAACTCAGTTAACCATACTCCCATGTGCAGTCACCAGCAAGAAGTACTTAAATAAATACAGTAATCCAATGCATTATTTATTAAAACCAGAACTGCTTCACTTCTTAGCATAGGTATAAATAAAGACAAAGCTACACAGAGGCATTGGTGCACATACATGCACAAATAAAACAGAGACATTGAGAAACACAAATAGATAAACAGGTGGCAAATCAAATGAAAAAGTCACTCACAAGTATAAGGTTAGTGGGATGCCCAAACTTAAACAGAACTGAAATAGAAAAAGAAGTTGAGGAAAAAGAGTAACCGCACCAAGCATTTCTGCCATCTGTAACAGGAAGCACGTGGAAAACAAAATAACCACCAATCATTCTGACATCACAACTACAAAAAAAAGTGCTGCTGATCATTGTAGCTCACACTGACTGTCACCACAAATTCTGCTCGGCACAGAATGCTGATGAGAATAAGGATCTCATCTGTCGCCCTGCTTTATTTTGGAAGGTTTGAATGATGTGTGTCCCTCAAAAACACCACAATTTACCTGTCTTGTTATGAGAAAGGTGTGCTGCTCGAAAGGTAAATATGTAACTTTTTTGCCGAAAGGAAATATTCAAAAGTGAAATTGCTGACAGGAAGATCATTTTAGTGTGAAACATAGAAAAGTAGACACAGCCTTTAAATACATTTTTTTGAATTGTTTTCAAACCACTGTATGGTTTCCATATTTCTGTAATCTCCTCCAGACCAATAACCCTCTAAGGTATTGATGTTCATCCAATTCTAGCCTCTTGTGTTTCTCTGATTTTAATCCTTCCACCATTGCCAACTGTGCTTTCAGCTGGCTTGGCCCTAAACTCTGGAATTCCTTGTCTAAAATTTCCTATATCTACACCTCTCTGTCCTATTTTAAGACGCTTCTTTAGAATTTATCTCTTTGACCAGGCTTTCGATTTTCTGTCTTGATATCACTTTCCGTGGCTCAGGGCCGAAAATGCTTTTCTTGCTAATGCTTTTAAGTGTCATGAGACATTTTGCTATGTTAATGCAAGTTAATTTTGGTGTTGTTATTCATTCTCGCTACTTATATCCTGAAGCCTCTGTCTCCTTCTGGGGTCCACAGTAGAGGTATTAAGTACACTTTATTTTGCTCAATGTAATATTGTCATGCATAAGCTTAGATGAGTATCTGCAAGCTTTCAGCATAGAAGGCCATACAAACTTGCGTTTAACACACACACACACACACACACACACACACACACACACACACACACA